ACTAAGATTTGAGCAAACATATAAACCTTAACATTCCTAAGTGTGAATCTAGTTAAAAAGTTGTTTACATATCTAGACTTAAATAGAAATAACTTATTTCCATTTCTGTTATCAAAATTCTATTTTTGACATTTTATATGTTAAGGCTTTTATAGATCTGAATGAAACGTCTAATGTTTAAAAGCATTTTCTTTTAGTGTCTTTTTCTGAAGATGAGAAATATCAACTACGAAAATTTGTTAATAAATCTTACCTGCTGGATAAGAAAACACACCATCAAGTGTATTGCAGTCTGATTGATATCCTCCTCGCCTATTGCTATGAAATTCGTGTCACTAAAGGAGAGAAAAATGTAAGTGCATGTGTGTCTGTGCATATTGGCATGCATTATAGTTCTACTAAAACATTAGTGTCTTATAGAGGGGGAAACCTGATGTGATTAGTTATTTTGGGGATGCTGTAGACAGAGGAGTAGGTGTGGAAGCATACTGCTTAAAATATAAAAATTCTTTCTATCTTCTCTCTTGTTCATTTCTACCAAAATGCACAACACGGGAGTTTAGGAAATTAAGGTTAATGAAGCAGGATATCTTGAGCTCTCATCTCTGTTCCAAGAGCCTTGGTAACACAGTGATTTAAGAGCTCAGCTGCTGACCAAGAAGTCAGCTCTGTGAATTCACTGCTGCTTTATGAGAGAAAGATGTGGTTGGGTGCTGCCTAAGGATTGTAGCCTTGGAAACCTTTGGGAGTCCTAATGGGGCAGTTCTGCTCTGTCCTATTAGGGATACTGTGAATCAGAATTGACTTGATGACAAGGGATTCTCATGTCTCTTGGTGATAACTAGCCCAAGTGGAAAAAGGTTGTTATATGAACCTTGGCATTGACAAGGCAGTCCATTTTACCATACTCACCTATTCTTTTCCTCCAGATTATCATTAGCAAATTATGAGAGCATTTTTTTTAAAAAAACAAAAAATGGAGTCTGGGTTTACCTTTGTTGAGTGACCTTAGATTCATATAGGTTGTGAGCTTTAAAATAATTGTACTAAATTTTTAAAAAGACCAAATTATAATGATTCTACTTAAAGAATTTCTTATAAATCTATCTGTAAATTACCATTTTTACATGTTGTTGTTATGTGCCGTCGAGTCATTTCCGACTCATAGCGACCCTATGCACAAGCGCTCTAAACCCTGCTCTATCCTGCGCCAACCGCACCGCCTCTGACACACCTATCCCGATTACCCCAGTCACCGAATCAATCCATCTCATAGAGGGTCTTCCCATCCTGAGCTGTCCCTCCACCCTCCCAAGCATGATGCCCCTCTCC